TCCGGGAGCCTCGGCCCCCATCCTGCACCCCTCTGGGCCCCCCGGCCCCCAAGCCCCCATCCTGCACCCTCCGGGAGCCTCGGCCCCCATCCTGCACCCCTCTGGGCCCCCCGGCCCCCAAGCCCCCATCCTGCACCCTCCGGGACCCCTGGCCCCCATCCTGCACCCTCCGGGCCCACCGGCCCCTAAGCGCCCGGCCCCCATCCTGCAACCCTCCGGGCCCCCCCAGCCCCAACCCCCCCCCCCGACATCTAGCGGCTTCCAGGCAGCCTCCCATTCCCCAGGCACTTACAACAGGCCCCCAACGTCCTCCCCAGACACCCTCGAACCTCCGACAACTCCCCTGCCCCATCTCGGGGCCCCCCCATGACTTGGCATCTCCGCCCGCCCCGGCAGGTTCAAGGCCTCAAGTGCCCCCTGGACGTCTGGTGCGGCCTGAATCACTCGCTGGCCCTGCTGTGTTGCCGGGAGCTGGGCCAGGCCGTGCTGGGCTGCGGCTGTGGGGCCGGGGGGCGACTGCCCGGCTGGCCCAAGGGCAGCGCCACCTTCGTCAAGCTGCAGGTCAAGGTGAGAGGGGCCCCGCCCCAGAGTCAGCCGCATGGGGGGCGGGGGCAGAGCCTGGCACCAACCGCAGCCCCGCCCCAGAGGTGGGTGCATCTCAGCGCTGGGCGAGGGGTCCCCGTGTAACCAGGCGCCCCGCCCCAGAGGTGGGTGCATCTCAGCGCTGGGCGAGGGGTCGCTGGGGAACCGGCCGCCCCACCCCAGAGCCAGCCGCATTCCCCCCCCTCTCTCCGGCTCCCCGGCAGGTCCCGCTCTGCGCCAGCCGCCTCTGCTCCACCCGCGAGTGCCTCTACCTGCTGTCCAGCCACGACATCGAGGGGGGGCCAGCGTACCGCGAGCTGCCCCCCAGCCGAGCGCCCCCCCCGCCGGAGAGCCCGGGGGCCCAGGCGTGCGAGCAGTACCTCAGCCAGCTGCAGGGCTGCCCCACGCTGGCCGGGCGGCTGGCCAAGGTGAGGGAGGCCGTGGGGGCCCTGCCCCTGCCCCCCTGCCAGAAGGACTTCCTGTGGGAGGCGCTGGAGCTCATCCGGCGCTCGGCCCCGCCCCACAGCCCCCCGGCCTGCAGCTAGAGGCCCCCCGGAACCCCTCCGCGCCCCACCCCCGAGTCCCCCCGATCATGGACCGCGATTGACGGACGCACACGCTACAATTGGGAATGAATAAAGCCCCAGAGGAGAAGCCGGCGGCATGGTCTGGGGGTGGCAGGACCTCCGGGGAAGACCCCAGGCCCAGCTTGCCTGTTACCTCCGCCCCCCAGGCCAGGCCCCATCCCGGAGGCCGAACCAGCCCAGAAGGGCCAGCATCACCCCGAGAGTGGAGAGGAAGGTGGGGGCGGGGCGTGCCCCCTCCTTGCCCCCGGTCATGCCCAGCTCTGGCCCCAGACGGTGAAGTGGGCCCCGGGATCTTGGCCATGGTGAGGACCCCCGAGGCCAGCAGCCTGGCGTGGGATAGGGGGGCCCGGGCCCACCCAGCCGGCTGAAGATGGGGCCGGGGAGCAGGAAGACAGCCCCGGCGGATCGGACACCGGGGCACGGCCGGGTGCCAAAGGCCTCGAGCCAGCCGCCGGGCGTAGCAGCCAGCGAGGCGCCCACGGCGTCTGTGCCGGTGGCCCTGTAGTCCACCAAGAAGCCGATCTCCGGCCCCGACATGGGGCTGAAGAGACGGGCCAGGCTGCTGGCCGTAGCTCTCCGGCGGGCAGGAGAAGGGGTGCAGCGGGGACCCTCCCGGATCCAGGCTGGGCGGGGGCGGAGGGAATGGATCTGGCGTGTCTGTGTGTCCAGCTCCAGGAGCGACTCGGGGGGGGACGGGACACCCCACTTTGTTCGCACTGCACGGGGGGGGGCTGGGGCTGCCCCTCGGCTGGCAGGTCCCAGGGGTGCCCCGGCTGCATCAGCTCTGGTCCTGGTGGGGCTGGAGGGGGGGGTGAGCTGAGACGGGAGAGGCTCTAGCCAGGATCAGAGGCAGGGGATATGGGGGGCAGATTCCTGAGAGTGGGGGGGGCTCAGAGGCAGGAGATATGGGGGGCAGGTTCGGGGGGGGGTGCAGCGCTGGCTGGATATAAGGGAGGGGAGGAGAGCGATGCGGGGGCCCTGCTTGCAGAGGAGAGGGTGCGGGGGGGGGGATCGGAGCTTGCAGGGGGGGGGTTCTGGTCACCTTAGGGTCAGT